AAGATGGTTTGTATACAAATTAGATATAATTTTTCTTAGTCGCGTAATAATCATATCTGCCATAAATTTAACCAAGAAAAAACTAACAATGCTTGCCATTAATTAATTAAATTTTAGTTTTTATTAACAAAATAATGTATATATATATATATATATATAATGTTTTATAACATTACTGATAGAATGTGTGTTTAAAAAAATTTATTCTATTTGTATTTCATGTGTTTTTAGAATTAGTTCTGAAAATTCGGGTCGCCAATACAGCTGATCCAGATTTCATAGAAGTGGAATTGCCGCGAAACGAGTTAACATATCAAGCTTTGTTATGTTTGTGTTGCAAAGAGCTGGATCTCAATCCACATCAGATTAAAAAATTACGAAAGTTGCCCAACACTAAACTGAGAAAAGACAAGGATATTCAGAGACTCCAAAATTTCCAGGAAATCGAAGTGATGATAGATGCAACAAATGTGTATAAGAGCATGCAAAATGCTAACGGCGTTAACAATTTGCTGATGTTACCAGCCAATGGATATCAAAGTATATCCAAGAAGGATCAGACCATTTTGTATTGACCACTTGCATTAAAAAGAAAACCTTTACAATTTCAAGTATTTACATAAATTAGTATTAATAAAAAAAATTTATTAAGCAATATTAATTATTTTTATTTATTAACGATAAGGAATATATCTTTCAAGCAATAAAGCATTAGGCAATAAAAAAAAAGCCAAACTAAACAAACTTAAAATAGCATAAGAATAATTTATATTAATTATTTCTGTATATGAAAAGGTAGAGCCACAAGAACAATGATGAAGATGTGATATTTAATGTTAATTAAATTGATATTAAATAGTATACATAAAATTACCTATTACTATTTAGAAAAATAATTTTTATGATTGTTCTTTTTACAAATTATAATGTAATAACAGAATAGTTCTGTGTCCTAATTCTCAGCATCTTTTTTCATGAGTTTTCCTTTTGATTTCCTAAATTTTTTGACAATAACATCACCCTCAGGTTTAACTATGACTGTGGCAGCACCCGTAACCGTTGAAAGTTCTCCCTCCACATCACGGTAAGCTTTTGGTCTTTTCGGTTGTATCATGATCGTACGTGGATTAACTGTATTTTTATTTTCTGAAATTCATAAAATCGTTTAAGGAAACAGTACCAATTGAACAATTTATTTTGTTAATTTATATTGTCAATAACTTACTTAACGTCATATAAAAAGGCAATGCTAGACTACTCTTAGTTTTTAATCGGAGAGCTTGTATGTTTGCCCATCCCCCAGGATAATCTTTAGATAGCTTTTTACAGGCAACCAGTATATTTTTAAGAACATCCTTTTCATTCATAGCTGTATTTCCTATTTGCATTAAATGAGTATCACCATCAGAATGAATTTGCATACTAGTCTTTCTCAATGCATAATCAATCTCATGTTTCAAATCTTTGCTATCTATCCTAATTGAGATTGGCAACTTCCGCTTCTTGAAAAACTGCTTTCCTAGTAAATGAGACATGTGACCAGCAATACGACCATCAACAAGAAAATGGTCATAGCTGCCTATGAGTTTTTTCTTCAATTCAAATTGACTAAATTCAGTTTTTACTTGATTCATAGGTATTATTTCATTCACGCGAGTACACCCATGCTTTTGTAATAAATTTTTATAATGTTCCACCGTTGGTTCATAATCTTTTCTCCTTCCTTTTTCCAAATCGCAGACAAATAAAGCCACTTCATCATCTGATGCAACTATTGAATGTGGCAGCAATCTATAAACAAGTGAAATGAAGAATTTTAGATAGATTTTGAACAAAAATGCAACAATATTTTATCATACATAGAACATATCATTACAAAGTTTAAATCACAAAATCTCATAAGGATCCATTGGTTAATTAAAAAATATAATCATGTGAAACTTTTCTTATAAGAAAATAAGAATTTATTAAAATTTACAGTAAAAAAAATTTCTTAGTTTTACTGTTTTCGAGATTAATTATGTTATCATTTCATAACTTTTCTTACATTCTCATCCATCTGCGAGGCATCTGTGGGATTCTGACGCTGGTGACTTGCATGAATACTGGCTGTGCCTCCTCGGCGAGAAGGCTGTTTTTCTCTTTTAACTGTTCCAGAGTCAAATGAAAAATTGCAGAAATACATTGCAAAATGTGTTTTTTCGATAATTCCTTCAAGTTGAATTCCTTGGGTGATTCCGTCGTCTCTGTCTCGCGGCTCACTCGCTTTCGTTTTCGTGGAATTAACTGATCTGGATTACTTCGCTTCATTTTTCACGCGTGTGCGTATGCTGTCTGTATTTTAATAAACATCCGATTTCAGTAAAAAATTAAAGAATGTAAAATTATACCTCAACACATCGCGACACCGACCAAGCACATGGCCAGCCATACAGGAAGTGGACGAACGGAAGCGACAGATTTTACCACAGTACATACAGTAGCGCAACTCTCTGTCGGCATCTTTGATGTAGCGTATACAAAATTGAACTGCACATGCGCGAGCTAAGTAGGTAACCAATCAATAGATCTGCTCTTCGGTGCTGCTAGACTGCACTAAAATGCTCTATCTCGCTTTCTCTATAAACAATATAAAATATAAATATCAAATTTGAAATATAATAAGAGTAAGAAAATAATTTAAAAAATATACAAATATATAAAAATATATAAATATTAATTAATAAAAAAAACTATATTATATTATTAACTTTGGTAAAAAAATTGCATAAAATATGAGAAAAATATTTAACATAAGAAAATAGTATATAAACGTACGTAAATAAACGTATTTAAATAATATTATTACTTTAAAATAAAAAGATAAATGTAAATATATATTTCTTAAATTTATAAAATTTAAAAAATACAATTATATTTATAAAATTTAGAAATAATACAAAATTTAACAAATAAATAGAAATGTAAATATACAATAGTAAAAAAATATTTTTGTATAGAGAAAGAACAATTTATTTTAAAAGTATTATAAATATACTTATACATATATGCAATTACAATTATGCTAAATATAATGTTCATTTATTTTTAGAATAAGAAATAATAATTTTCAAAGGAAATAATATTTTTTTAAATTTTTAATATTCTAAATTTATAATAAAAAATCTGTATAAATCTTTTATAAATTTATTATTATATTTATTATAAATTAACTATTTTTCAAAGAGAAAATAACTCTTCGTTCATTAATTCATTTTATGTCCGTTCTTAATTCATTTTATTTTATTTCATTAATCACTATTCATTGAACACTAAATTATTCATTAATCAATATTTAATATTCACTGAATACTTCTATTTATTTTCTTTAACACGCCTTAACAAAGAAAACTCTTTACGATTTCATTTCTATGGCTATAAAAAGATCCTTAGCGCTACAAAATTTCGAAGCGTTTGATTAACCAATCAGAACAAAGAATTTTATGAATTGACCAATTAAAAAATGCTTCGAAGCATTTGTAGCACCAAATGAACTGCACTCAACGGGTGCATTCGTTTATGCAGTCATTACCGCAGACGTTCGTTTATTCCGTCTGCGAAAGTGACTGCAGCGCAGTTCGTTGTTTACGCAAGGATCTCATTTGTGCAGCTACTCGGAAGTCCTGCTTTGGATGCTCTGCTTGCAGTACTACGTAACGAACATCAAAATGAATTTTATTAGAATAAGAAGGTCAGAAAAAAAGGTCAGAAACAAATAATTGATCCAAATAAAATAAGAATAATAAGATATAATTAAAATAAAAATAAGATAAAATAAAAAAAATAAGAAAAAAATAAGAATAAAAAATAAGAATAAAATAAGAAAATAAGATAAAGAAATAAGAAATAAGAAATAAGAATAAAAATAAGAAGAAATAAGAAAAAATAAGAATGATAAAATATAATTCACAAAAAATTAATATCTTGCTTTTAAGTAAAATTCATAGATTAAATATTTTTTACAATATCCATTATTTATATCAATTAAATTTAATATTAATAAAATATTATCTTTTATACAATAAAAAGTTTTATTATATTTTAATTATTCGAATATAAATTTATGTATAAAATTGTCTCTTTATTTATCATTGACTTAGTTTACACTTAGCTGTCCAATCCCGGTCACTTCAAAATTAAGTGGATTTAGGGAGCGTTTACACCGGATTGATCTTACTCCGCTAAGAAAAGAGGATTAAAGTGGATCGAAATTAGTCCGTTTACACTTAAGAAATATTACTTCATTCCGAAGTGAATCGGGATTGAACGGCTGGGTGTAAACTAAGTCATTCAAACAATCGGCTCAATTTCTATTGGAAGGTACGATCCGTGCAGTTATTCACGCAGTTCGGTAAATTTCGATCATATTATTATATTAATCCGCCGTATGCTTCGAACTCATGCGCAATACATATTTCCAGACATCTTCAGAGA